CCATCTCCAGTGTCTTCACCTTGAATTGGTAAGTGATTCGAATCTTCTTCCTTTCCGTTGATTCCGCACCTCTTTTGCAACACAAAGCATGTTTCGTTTGTATGTTTTTTCAAAGCATATGTTCCATTTTTGCTTCCATTTTCTGAAAGAAAAAATAAAAAACCTTTGTAATAGAGCCACTGTCTATATGAATATCCTGGGAAATGATAGTTTTGATCCAAAATCACACTTCAACCGAACTAGGATACTGTTTGTACTAGGTACGACCCTGGCCGAAATAAACAACCGAACCAAAACTTCAAACCCTACTCAAAGTTTCGATAGGTCTTACCTCTTAACCATGCTATTGAACTGCATTAGGTTTGCGCAATACCGCGCTAGAAGCCTTAACCACCGACCGAGCTATCTTGGGCTAAACCAGCTCCCTTAGTTCAAACCAAACTAAGAATACTGCCCCAATGGCTCGACCGAGCTAAAGCCCCTTGCTTAAACCGAGCTAAAACTGGTGAGCATCCCATGTAACCGAGCCAGGACTTCATTTATTTTGCCTATATTTCTTGTGGCACGGTCCCACGATCTATGCTTAACACCTTTCTTTTTCACTTTGCAGACTTAGGTTGCCAGGCACTCCCTTGAACGCTCAACCGAGCTACTCCGCGTCATTTTACGACCGAGCTAATACTCCGTTAATTTATACATAATTTAAAACCTTATGGGTAAATATAGGTTTTTAGTGAACTCACCAGGTGTTATGGCCGAGTTCCGAAGGGACTACCATATCCCTGATGATGTTCATCTCACTTTAGCCGAACTAGATACCATACCCTAGGGAAACCCTGGCTTTGTTCCTTTTACACTTCTTTCCATTGTAGAAACCGGACTAAGATTCCCTGTACAGCCCCTTCTATGCGAATTCCTTAAACAAACCAACCTCTGCCCTACCCAACTTTCCACAAATTCTTACCGCATAATAAATGGCATCGCCGAGCTAAACCGCCGGGCTAGCCTTAACCTCGGTTTAGCCGAGCTTTTCCACCAATACTCCATAGGATCAAATGAAGATGGCTGGGTTTACTATTTAAGAATAAGACGCCGACGTGAAAAGATAATAAAAGATACCCCAGATAAAGATGTTAACGATGATGATTTCCTCTGGGTATCTGGGAATTTTAAGGACCAACAAGCCCAGATCCCGGACGACAGAATAAATTGGAACAAGGGTGAAGCCGGTAGGATTACCTCGGCTTAATTCCATGCTTTCTTTTACCTCGGTTTTCTTATGTTGAACCGCACTGACTGTTTTGCTTTTCTTCATGCAGATTTGAACTTTCTCAAGTCCTAGTATAACTACCCCAACTTAAACACACTTCGCGCCGCACTGCGATATCCCAATAGAAGTTGGGCCGAACTACTGGATTTTGAACCGATGTATAGACACAGTAGTAAGCGAAAGACCAGGGTGACTGACTTCTTGTTGGAAGCCTCTCCTGAACCGGACCCAATCTTGCCTCAAATCAACCTGATCCGACTAACTGCTGAACAAGAAATGGCTAAGAAAAGAGCCGTAAGAGCCCTTCTGACTGAGACAAACCAGCCCGAGGTACTCCCAATTGGTCAAACACAAGAGACCGTGGCAGCCCTACCATCCCACCAGCCTTCATCGTCTCGGTCTCGCAAGCGCACTCGGTCTTCTCTATCCGAGCCACACCTCATTGATGAGGACGAAACTGTGCTTCCCCCAACCGAAGTACCGAGCCCACAACCTGAGAGCCCAGACCGAGCTAATTTTTCTGATTGGGCACTGAAATTAACATTTCAGAACCGAGCCATCAGACCAACGGATTCAGTGGTGGCAAATAAAGATCACATGCTGGCCTTCAACTTGCTAAGAGCATGTGTCTGCCCCCTGATATGGATCACCACACCCACTTGACCGAGCTAAAAGCTATCCGCTCGGCCACCAAATCAATGGTGCTGGTGAGTATTCTTTCCTTTGCTTTTTTATTTTGTGCGACTGTTAGCTCGGTTCTTACTCCAATTTGCTTACCATGTTTATGCAGGCCATGCAGAAGAACCAGATTGCTCATAAGCGTGTGCTAGAGCTACGCAAAACAACAAGGCAAGCCTTGGCAGAGGCTGAAAAGAAGATGGTCGAGCTAAACGAGGCCAAACAACAAATGGCCGAGCTGCAATCTGAGGTCGCCCGCCTCACCGGCCTAGTTAACGTAGCCGAGGTGGACAAACAAAAAGCTCTGACTGAGCTGAAGGATCGCTATCTGCGTGAGCTTGCCAAAGTTGAGCAGAACAAGAAAGTCGAAATAATTGAACTTGAGAAGAAGATTGGCGATGCAGAGGACCGTGGTTACAAAAAAGGTGAAGCAACCTACATCCTGCAGTGTGAACCTGCCAAGGATCTATTTTTCAAGTGCGGGTGAAAAATGGCGGTGGAACAGCTCGGTCACGGTCCAGAGACTGAGGTTTTCCAGAACCCTCCATCGCACTTCATACCGAGCTATATGGCAGAGTATGCAGCCACCATTCAATAAAAATTCCTTGAATCTGAGGATGATGATGAAGAGACCGTGCCTGACAATGCCCCGGTCGTCAATGATGCTGTGATACCTCTGTTCTGTATTATGTGAATTGGTCCCTAATACGTATGTGATTATGCGTTTTGATGTGATTTGTGTGCCATTATGTGAATGTATATGATTTTGAATTTCTATCTGTTCGCGTAGGAATATCTGTTTAAATAATCTGCTTTGGAAATTAAATTGAGGGCCTTATCAGCCACAGAACCTGGAATTGATTACGCCATTGTGATTGGCATAAACTTTAGAGCCTACGGTGAAATTTAATTGAAAATTGATTCTGGTCAATTTAAACTGATTAAATTGATGAATAAAGTGCCCAAACATTTTTATATTACAATATTTTCTAGTGGGGCTCATTGTGTATTGGCATTACACCATCCTTTGTCCCTCTTGAACTCAAAATCTGAGTTAAACATTTGAGAGAGTGAGAGAGGGGCCGGCCATAGTGAGAGAAAGGGGGAGGGTTGTGCTATTTAGCCTAAAGCTTGGAGATTTTGGAGGTTAAGCTCAAGAATCGCCATAGATTGTGAAGATTAAGCTCCTTGGTGAGTAATTCATGCATTGTTAGTCACTACCTTGTGAATTCAAGTCCAATAGATGGCCAAGAGCATGAATTAGTTTGAATGAAAAGGAATTGAGTTGTATATGTTGAATTTCAGGCTAATAGAAGCATGCATGTGAAGAATTGTTATAGATTTCCATGTTTGAGCTTAATTTGTGTAATCCATGTTGAAGTTTGAAGGAAATCCATGTGTGTGACCATTTCCTCACCAAATAAGTTGTGAATAATGTGTATTTCTTACATGCAAGGGGAGATTATGAAAGGATAGGCCTTGCATGTTAGAATTTGATATGTTGGTGATGAATTGGGATTAATTTGAGGCATGCATGTAAATGAAATAAGAGATTGAGCTTTCTAATGTTGTAATATTGCATTGGTATCATGTTAATATGTGTATGTTTGAGTTTTGAGCCATTGCATGCAAGAATTGTAGCTGGAAAGTTGAATTGGAGCTCAAGAACACGATCTGGGAAACCCAGAATTTTGATGTCCGCTCGAGCGGGGAAGTTCACGCTCGAGTGGGTATTTCGAGCTCCCAGTATTTTGTTCTTGTAGGCTTGGTGTCCACTCGAGCGGGAAAGTTCACGCTCGAGCGGGGAGCTATGTTGAGAGGCTTTCCACTCGAGCGCTATATTTGACGCTCGAGCGTAAATTTCACCCATCCAGTACTTTTGTAGGCCTTGGAGTTCCGCTCGAGCGGGGAAGTTGACGCTCGAGCGGGGACCCTGTTTTCTGAAATTCTGAAAATGCATTCTGTGTTCTGTTTTCCCGTTCTCTTTCATTTGCAAGCACTCTTAGGCATATGTTAAGCATTGTAAATGAGCTAATGAAATGTGAATTAAGCATAAAGAGAGATATGTGAATTAAAGAACGGATTAAACCGTTAGTGACCCTTTTGTGCTCATGAAATGTGTAGAGTCAAGTTCCAGGGCAAATCCATAAGCCGATCACTGTGAGTAATACCGATATTCGAATATTTGTGAATGTCCAATTGTTTATTTCCTTATAAGCTTTATGAGTTACTATTCGAGATTGTGGACGAGAGTCTGATATGAATAAACATGAATGGACCAAAGGTCGTTTCGATAAACATGAACGGACCAAAGGTCGTTTTGATAAACATGAAGGGACCAAAGGTCGTTTCGATAAACATGAACGGACCAAAGGTCGTTTTGATAAACATGAATGGACCAAAGGTCGTTTTGATAAACATGAATGGACCAAAGGTCGTTTTGATAGAAATGGGTGGGCCAAAGGCCGTTTTGACATGAACGAATGGACCAAAGGTCGTTTTGACATGACACGAATGGACCCAAGGTCGTTTTGACATTCACTATCCTTTCCTTATTACGCGACTAAGTTATTATTGGTGGTTGCAATATTTTTTTTCTTTCAGTTTTTAGAAAAGGCAATTGGCTTGATGCATCTTTTCTCACATATGAAACTTCATAAATCTATGTAATCATGCCTTTTGAGTATGTATTTGGTATTGTTGTAAAATAAATCACTGGTCATAATTGCACATGTTGGAAGTTGGAACAATGATAGCCAGAGCAACTTATTAAAAAAAGGTAGGTTAAAGTCATAATAATTAGAAAAGAAAAAATGTGCTTTCTTTTAAGTTTTAAAAGAACATTCTAACAATTATAATGGTAATTCTCAGGGTATGCTGGAAGGAGAACAATAAATAGCTGTGAAGCGGCTATCAAAGAATTCTAGCCAAGGACTTGACGAGTTCAAGAATGAAGTTATTTGTATTACCAAGCTTCAGCACCGAAATCTCGTGAAGCTTCTAGGATGTTGCATTCAAGGAGAAGAAAAGATGTTAATCTATGAATACATGCCTAACAAAATCCTGGACTACTTTATTTTCGGTTTGGCTCTCTTGAAACTATAATACCATACCACAATTATTTTCGGTTTGGCTCTTTTTTGATTTATTTGATTATGGGAACAAAATTATATGTAGTTTGTATTACATGTGCATTTGCATGAACTTGGGTCTTCCAAAATTTGGGATTTTCCATCGAGGAATCCTGTTAAATTCATGCATCCGATTAGCAGGAGCATTGACTAAATCAGACAAAATTTTGACAGATCAAACCCGAAGCACACTACTGGATTGGCCAAAGCGCTTCCACATTATTAATGGGATTTCCCGAGGCCTTCTTTATCTTCATCAAGATTCCAGGCTGAGAATTATTCACAGAGATCTTAAAGCAAGCAATATTTTGCTAGATATTGACATGAACCCAAAAATATCAGACTTTGGAATGGCTAGAAGTTTTCGGGGAAATGAGACCGAAGCAAATACAAGCAAAGTGGTAGGAACATAGTAAGAATCTATACGACATGTTTTGTCTATTGCTTCAAAATCTAGTTCTTTATTTAACTCTTTCTGCAGTGGTTATATATCTCCAGAGTATGCAGTGGATGGGTTGTTTTCAGCAAAATCAAATGTATTCAGCTTTGGCATTTTGGTGTTAGAGATTATGAGTGGGAAGAAAAACAGAGGTTTCTATCATCCAAATCACCACCTCAACCTCCTTGGCCATATAAGCATACGTAGTTTAGAAGTATTCTTATATTCTGTCTTAAATCCCGCTTTCTCCCCTGTTTCAAAACATTCACAACCGTGTGATTGTGTGAGCATCTGTTCAGGCATGGAAACTCTACAAAAAAGGTAAGTCACTCATGCTATCTAACTAAAGTGTTGCAATCAATCCACGTGGGTCTTTTATGTGTGCAACAATCTCCAGAGGATAGACCAAGCATGTCATCTGTGGTTCTGATGTTGGGTGGTGAACATACATTGCCTCAGGCCAAACAACTTGGCTTCTTCACCGAAAGGAATGTTCTTGAGGCTGCCGGTTCATCAAGCAAGGAAGCAACAGGTTCAGTCAACGAAATCACCATTACTCTTTTGAATGCTCGATAGAAACATACATTGTATTGATGCAAGTTATATGCCCCAAAACTTGTTTAAAAAAAATGAAAATCTTCACTATTGTAAAAGACTACAACATTTCTTTTCATCTACTGGATTAAGTTTTATAAACTAGTTCCTCCTTTTGGAGTTCAGGTTTTTTTGTTAAATTTGATACCATGTACAATTTGAAAGCTTAATAAATGTTTCTTGTTACAACATGTTCATATGTACATAATTAAATTAGAGAAGTATGAAGAATATACATCTATATATTGACATGATGAGACCTAGCTATGGTATCTCCATTCTGTAGTATTCTCATTGTATTCACTATTTGTTTTAGCATAAAATGTTTTCTTATACTTGATTGTAACTTAAAACTAATATACCAGTGGGAGTGTGGTGGCGTTGGCAACATTTTAATCTAAAAAACATTTTTCATGTTTCAAAAGTAGAAGGTATTTTCTATCAAAGTAAGTTTGTTTTCTTGTTGATTATAAAAAATATTTTTTCTTGACTTTCATTAAAATATTTCTAGTCGAAACAAAGAGAGATGCACTCCACTATTATAACATATTCTTTTTTGTATAGAACACTCACAAAGGTTGGTTCTCACCATGAGATCTTAGAATACTCACAAATGAGCGGTTTGGTTCCACTTTTTTAGAGGACATTTAGGTTTTAGTTCTAAATAATTAAGTCATTAATTATATTGTTTGATTCATGTACTAAGTGTTAGAATATATGGTTTTATAGGCTTATTTTGAGCCAACTTTGAGTCCAAATTTGGATGGGGCCCACATAACTTTTGGGGTAGGTCCAAAAGGTGACGTGTTCCTTGTCGCGTGGCAAGTCACACGGTAAAGACAGTTCGTCAAAACCATTTATGAGTGAATGGGAACTTGACGTCTTTTTCGGGTTCGTGGAATGGACAAATAAAGAATAAAATGTGGGTTTCCTTATAAGGCTTGTCCCACATTGAAAACTTAAGAGAACTTATGTGTGTATATAAGTTCTAGGTGGCAACACTTAGGTTGGGCCCCAAGGGGCACCCAAAGTTTGTAGAAGGGAGGAGTTATGGACAAAGTGTACCTTGGCTCAAACCACCACACGTGCGCGCGAGCCGCCGCTATCCGGCCCGCTCGGCTGGGCGCTGGTGTGGGCTGTGGGTCAAGTCGGTTCTAACGTTAATTTTTTGGACAAAATTTATTTGAATTTTTCCAAAAAAAATTCTTAAGGAAAATTTTATTTTTTCTAAACAAAATTGATTTAAATTTTGTGCCAATTTTTTTTGTCCAAACAGAGCCCTTCTCCAGGCCAATTTCCAGCAGGTTCAAATAGTTCAAGCAGTTGGACCGAACAGGCTCCATTTTCTAGCAAATCTGTTCAGTTTGAAGTTGAATTTGTCCAGTTTGAATTTTCACATGTTTAATTCATTTTCATACCTGTTTGGATCTGTCCGAACAGGCACCACTTGCCTATAAATAAAGATCATTTCCAACAGATTTTCACATCCAGAAATCATATTCTCTTCCTGTTTTTTCTCTCTCTTTGCATTGTTCTTCATATTAGTTTTTTAGAGAAATTCTAATAGTACAGAACGCAGGTTCTAGTTCGCTGTACATATTGTTTGGAGTGCTACTACAATTTGTGTAAAGATCATTGTATCCTGAGAGATAGACGCCTTTTATTCATAAGCACTAAAGTGGGGCGAATCTGTCTTAAGGACAGAGTGTCACACACCTCACTTGATCTATTTATGTACTTATTCATTTTGGTAAAATAAATTCGGTAAGTAATTTATTTTTATTTGTTTGATTTGTCTCACATTATTTATTTTACACAAAAGATTGTTCCAACAATCTTAAGACAGAATCGAATTATTCTGTTTATACAAAAATTTTCATTTGTTTCCTTTTCTCTTTCTTCATCTTACAGAAATTATTTTCTATAGTTTTACAAAATAATATTTTGGTTGGAAAAACATCTAGTAGTAATATATTGTTTGAAAAATAGTAATAATATACTGTTTATTTTTTTTGACAACTAGTAGTAATGTACTAGTAGTCATTAAAAATTTAGACTATTTATTTGTAAAGTTGATCATAAATTAATTTTAGTTTCCAAAAATAATTTTTGAAGTGTTACAGAAATTTAATTTTCTGTGTGGAATTAATTTGTTTAAATAAAAGTTTACTTTGTTTTCAAATTAATTGAAAATAAAAGTTATAATTCTTGTTTCTTTTATTTTTACAAAATTAAATTCTATGTTTTGGTTTAATTTTCTGTGTAGTATAAAATTCTAATTCTAATTTTGTTTTGTAATTTAGAATTCATGGCTACAAAAATTGGTCAAACTAATGTTCGAACCAGTACTGGTATAGTGGCTGCAATTGCGCCAATCTCTCCTCATGTTGTGACTGTGCCAATGAATCACGGTGAAAAGCCAGAGAAGTTTTTAGGAACTGATTTATGCAAAGGCAAAGAAAGATCAAGCAAGAAGGCTACTCAAGCCAATATAACCGAAGTGGATAGAATTTCCAATAGTGTTGAGGACATAAATCTTTCCGCAGTCATTTCTGAGGCAAACCTTGTCAGAAATCCTAAAGAACGGTGGGTGGACACTGGTGCTACTCGCCACATCTGTGTCGACAAAAAGATGTCCACATTTTATTTTATAGTCGACAACGGTGAACAACTTTTTATGGGTAACTCCTCGACTCCTAAAGTTGAAGGACAAGGAAAGATTATTCTGAAGATGACCTCTGAAAATGAACTTACTCTCAACAATGTGATGCATGTACCGGACATTCGCAAGAATCTAGTCTCCGGATCTCTGTTGAGCAAAAATGGGTTTAGGCTAATTTTTAAAAGTGGCAATATTATACTTACCAAAAACGAGATGTATGTAGGAAAAGGTTACATGTCTGATGACCTTTTTCAAATGAATGTAATGTCTGTTGTACCCTTTGCTATTAATAATAATACATCTTCTTCTTACATACTTGAGTCTTCAAATTTGTGGCATGGTAGACTAGGACATGTTAATTATGGATCTTTGTATAGATTAATTAATATGGAATGTTTAACTAAATTTGACAATGATTTAAATCATAAATGTGAAATTTTTGTTGAGACAAAATTAACTAAAACTCCTTTTCATTCAATTGAACGAAGTACGGAGTCACTTGAATTAATTCATAATGACATTTGTGATTTTAAATCAATTCAAACTAGAGGTGGGAAAAAATATTTTATCACTTTCATAGATGATTATATCAGATATAGTTATGTTTATTTAATTCAAACCAATGATGAAACTTTGGATACTTTCATTCAATATAAGAATGAAGTTGAAAGTCAACTTAGTAAGAAAATTAAAAAACTAAGAAGTGATAGAGATGGTGAATATGAATCACCTTTTAGTGAGTTTTGTAAAGAACATGGAATAATTCATCAAACCACCGCTGCTTACTCACCTCAGCAAAATGAAATTGCTGAAAAGAAAAATAAGACTTTAAAAGAAATGATGAATGCCATGTTAATAAGTTCAGGATTATCTCAGAACTTATGGGGAGAAGCAATACTTTCTACTAATTATATTCTAAATAAAATATCCCGAAAGAAAGTGAATCAAACACCTTATGAAATGTGGCATGGAAGAGTACCATCCTACAAATACTTAAAAGTGTGGAGGTATTTGGTTAAAGTGGCTATTCCTAGTCCTAAAAAGACTAAGATAGGTCCTAAAACAGTTGATTGCATTTTCATTGGTTATACCAAGAATAATAGTGCATATTGGTTTTTGATTCATAAGTCAGAACATTCCAAAATACATGTAAATACTATTATTGAATCTCGGAATGCATCGTTCTTTGAACATGTATTTCCGAATAAAATTGAACAAGAGACTAGTACTAATAAAAGATCTTTTGATGCTATTACTAGTTATGATCAAGAACAAGATCAAGAACAAGAGCAAGAGATAGATCAAAATGAAGAAGAGGAACCTATGCGTAGTAAACATGCTAGAACCTCAAAATTTTTTGGTCCAGATTTTCTAACTTTTTTGTTAGAAAATGAGTCTTTAACTTTCAAAGAAGTTATGTCCAATCCTGAAGCTCCTTTATGGAAAGAGGCTGTAAATAGCGAAGTTGAATCCATTTTGCAAAATCATACTTGGGAATTGGTGGATTTGCCACCAGGGTGTAAATCTCTTGGTTACAAGTGGATTTTCAAAAGAAAAATGAAAACGGATGGATCAATTGACAAATACAAGGCAAGACTTGTGGTCAAAGGCTTTAGAAAAAAAAAGGTCTTGA